ACACACAAAAACACACAAAAACACACACAAACAAACACAAACACACACACAAACACACAAAAACACACACACAAACACACACAAACACACACAAACACACACAACACACACAAACACACACACACAAACACACACACACACACAAACACACACAAACACACACAAACACACACAAACACACACAAACACACACAAACACACACAAACACACACACACACACAAACACACACACACACACAAACACACACAAACACACACAAACACACACACACACAAACTTACACAAACACACACAAACACACACACAAACACACACAAACACACACAAACACACACACAAACACACACAAACACACACAAACACACACACACACACAAACACACACAAACACACACAAACACACACAAACACACTCAAACACACTCAAACACACACAAACACACACACAAGCACACACAAACACACACACACAAACACACACACACACACACACAAACACACACACAAACACACACACACACACACAAACACACACACACACACACAAACACACACACACACACACACAAAAACACAAAAACACAAAAACACAAAAACACAAAAACACAAAAACACAAAAACACAAAAACACAAAAGCACAAGCACGCAAGCACAAGCACGCAAGCACGCGCGCACGCGCGCACGCGCGGACGCGCGGACGCGCGCACACACGCACGCACGCACCCACCCCCACACACACACACACACCCACGCACACACACGCACACAGACACGCACACACGCACACACACGCACGCACGCACGCACACACACACACAACATGCATTTAGTATGCAATGATATGCCAATGCCATCGACGACTTTTCCTGCCTGGGGTTTCTCGACGTGCTTCTGTCAGTACGTCGTCGCAATCGGATTTCAAATGGCATGACTGGTGCTGAGCTTCTTGACGGCGTGCGGCGTGACTGCGCTTCTTGTCTGCTTCTGCTCCGCAAATGCCGAGCCTAAGGTCAGTTTTCAAATCACGAGGCTTGCCTGCAAGAACTGATCTGACTCAACTCAGGCAATCGATTTGGCCAGTGTTGTAGTCGAAAGACTTGGAGGTCGACCTCACGGCGGCGTAACGCGATGATAGAAAACCATGTCATGAACTGCTGAAAACGTGCAAGTGACAATCTGATCTAAGTGACTGAAACAGAAACACACACACACAAGAAAAAACACACACACACACAACATTCAATTCTGGCGGTTGAACAAGCACTTTGACATGCCAGTGCCATCGACGACTTTTCCTGCCTGTGGTTGCTCCGCGTGCTCCTGCCAACACGTCGTCGCAATCCAATTTCAAATGGGATGACGGGTGCTGAGCTCGAGCTTCTTGACGACGTGCGACGTGACAATGCTACAAAGCCAGGGTGATACGCGTTTTCCCGTGACAGGCGGTAGGGCATGCTGGCACTGAAAAGCAAGTCTCAAGTCTGTGGACGTGAGCACCTGGTCTTCCATGCAAGCACTTGCCATCAGCATGGGTTGATACAGCAGCCAACTAGAAGAAAACACTCAAGAGCTGGATGTGGCTATTGCGGTATTCTCATTCGCTCACTTGCCTGCAATGGCTCCATGCATCTGCGACGTAGCTTCGAGGCGTTGCAAGCTCAGGTCGTGTCAACGCGCCGCATTGACCATGAAGGCATCCGCAGCTGAATCCAGCAAGCAAGAAGCAAAGAGTCTGAGAGGTTCACAGCATTCCGGCTGGCCAGGTCTCATTGTAGGAAACCATCTTGGTACAGCACCCTGGTGAACGATGCGGCCTCACCAATGCGCACAGGCGGCTCCGCCCTTTCCACGGCCTGAAGGTTGCATGCCGTCTAGGAAGCACAAGAAAGCAAAGTCTCACCGACCAGCATTTTGCTGGGGCAAACTTTCACCCAATGCTATGCGATCCATGCCTGGGACTGCTTCATGTAAGGTGCGCGCCATCTTGGCTGGACAGCTGCATTGAGGCTGAGCATTGAGTTTGTTTGGTATGCCAGATCGCTGCGCTCGGGGCCGCGCGCGTGAACACCTTGATGCTGTCTCCCTGCCAGTCGTTCAACAAGGCAAGCACTGGAAGGTTGCTCTGAGCTTGGCTGGCGAGGCAGCTGGCTACCAGGTTCTGACAGGGGCAACCTCAAAACGACCAACATGGTGGCAACGCCTCAAATCGCCAGACAAGGACAGCGCCACACACCTGGAGGCTTGTGATGAGTGACCGTTGCAAGACCAGGCTGTCCAGGCTGCGAATCACCCGGTGCTTCTTCGATGAGGAAAGCAACAAGGCGTTTTGAGCAAGGTTGCCCATACATCATCATGCAGTGCTTGCGCCCTTTCTGCATTTTGGCAAGGTTAGGATTGAGCCGACTAGCCTTGGTCGTTGCAAGCAGCACCCTCGCCTTGCCGTGCGCAGGCTTGCGGAACAGCAACGCTGAGTGCGCCTTCTGCAGGCAACGCGCAAAAGGGTCTCAAAGCAAGAGTCTTCGGCTGATTGACATGGCTACTGTGGAAAGACGTGTGGCCTTCATAGCCCAAATACCGCATCTTTGCGGGCAACCTTTAACTCAACGAAAGTCCTTGTACATCATCTCGCATACAAAACTGTGGCAGCATTAGCTCAAATGCTGCTAGAACCGCAGGGCAGCAGCTCCGATGCTAGCAAAGCGTCCCGTCGCCAGTTGGTGCGCGGCAGCGGGGCGCTTTAAACCCAAGCTGGAGACTTGTCATCTTCAAGCAACAGCGGATTGCATCCGCACGCGCCGCTTACCAAGTGGCAAGCCTGGCTCACGAATCCAGGACCTCATCTGGCTCTGCTGAGATTCGCATGTTGGTGCAATATGGCACCTAGATGTCCAATATGCCCAGGTCTAAATCGCGCCTCTTGAGATGACTCTCTTCAAACCCGCCTCTTCTGTATGTGCCCGCCTTTCCCCCCATTCATGCTGGGCCCACTTACAATAGCTGTGTTTAGATGTCCTGTATACAATGCTGTGGGCATATTGGGCATGCTAGGCGGGCAACAGCAAAGGCAGTAAGATGGACATCAAATTGGGACAGATTTCATCTAGCAATCCGATCCGCACTACTGTGCTAATTTGAGACTGTCAAGGCCGCTTCGAAGTGATGGCTTTGCCGAGCAAAAACACATCATGGCGGATGACAGACTTCGCTCAAGTCATGCAAAGAAGCAACTAGGATCTCACGGTGTGGTCTTGCCCAGGGACGTGTGTACATACAGGGCATCTGTGTGCACCAACTTCACCGCGACTGGGTATTCCCTGCTCAGCCGATTATCCAACTAGTTGTGGTCACTGTGATTGGGTTCATCAACTTTCCATGTTCCTCGACCCCAGGGTAAAGTACCATCAAATTTGCCTTTTGTGCTGCAGATTGTTCGGTGCCAAGGCCTTTTGCTCAACCTTGTAACTATTCGGGCCGTAAAAAGAAAGCTCAACACCAAAAGGGCAAGGTCACTGCTTTGGCTTCTTTCACTGACGTGGTAGGCTAACAACCTCCGGCCAGCGCGGCCTTTGGAGGGTCGAGGCCATTAGCTGGGCTATCGAACAGGGGCCAGCATCAACTGCAAACCACTTCAGCGATGAGCAGCACAAGCTGTTGTCGTCAGTGGCCAAGCGTTGCAGCTTTGCAACCTGCCAGCGTCCCTGCTTTGAGCGCTGTGTATCCCCCACGGACTGCAAAGTGCCAGCAACGGCAGTCAATCCGATCCTGCTCAGCCAGTGACCTTTCCACGCTGAGCCACCCTGCAAACCAAACTGCCACATCCCGATGCACAGGTGCACGATCTCAGTCATGCCACAAGTCTTCAGGGAATCGTACCCCACAGGCTATGCTCACTTGGTGGCAAACCCATTCAAGTCGGATTCAACCATTAATTTATCACGTTTTTTGCTGGAGACTTGCAAACATGGGTAGTGGATCGGGCAGAGGCTTTGGGTAGCCACATCACCGGTCTGTGCACACAACGTCCACCGCAGGTTGCCGAAGGTTGAGATAAAGGCTCCTTCACAGTGAACGCACCCCCTGAACGCTCCCAAGGCAACTGCAAAGTGATGAGCTCATGTCGCCTTTCAAGAGCTGCTCCCCTGCACGTGTACATGGAACCCCTCATTTGTAGAGGAATCTCCTCTTGGGGGACCCCTTTTTGTTCCCTGTTTCCCTGTTGGGGTTCGATGTTGATATCAGCAGATCCTCACGCCTCATAGGATGGGCTGCCTCAGACTGTCCTTCTGTAGTGGAGGAGCTCATCATCCAAAGTGGAAGAAATCTGCAAGTCTGCACCTTGGCAGAGAACTTTGATCCAAGTCTTTCGCAATCAGGGAACTACTGAGACAAGGCAACACCTACCCAGGGATCGGTTCTTAGAGGCGTGTTACATGGGGTTCTTAGAAGGGTTCTGCGATTTTTTTTGCTCCTTGCCACCAGGCTGCCCTCAAACTCACTCACCACCTCTTGCTGTCTGCGATCCTGGCAAATGGTAAACTTGGCAGCTCACGCTTCTGGCTGAAGCATGCAAACTGGCAGGAGCAGGAAACTGAAGCTCGACACCATCCAAGGTACTAGTAGACCAGGACATGGTCAATGCCGAGCTTTGCGCTGACCACCAACCTTGCAATGCTTCACGTGCTTGCTCTCTCCTTCATGCCCATCAAACAAGAAGAAGCATAAGTGGCAACTCCTTCTTGTCCCCCCTTCCTAGCGTTTTTTGCCGCTCATATCTCGTCTTCGCCCAGCCTCGTGCAATGCCCTTGCCCCCATCCAAACAAGAAACAGTATCAATATGAAAATGAGGACGAAAGCAGGGTTTATTGCTTTTGGTGGATGCACATTGCGCTTAGTGTGGTGCCCGATCCAGCGGAAGACACCCGGCGTGCCCACCAGAAAGTGCCCCTCAGGTCCTGGAGTTCATGGGCTATGAAGCCATGCCGCAGAAGAAATCTACACTTCACATGCTTGAACCCACGCTAGCATCTCTGGTTTCCACTACCCCCAAAACAGCTTAAACCATCTACACGGGGGAAAGGGAACACACCAAATTCTCATTTCCCTTGGTGGTTTGGACTTTGTTGCAGATAGCGGGGATTTTCCAGCGGAAACCGCTAGTCCTTCTCCAGGCAGACCCATCTTTGGCAAGGCCGAGAGCTTGAGCCCCGGGCTGAGTTAACTAAAACATGGTTCTGGCAACGTGGCGGGACAAATCTACATTGCGTAAAAATTCCTTGGGTCCCGAGTCTTCCAGGTAGGAGAACTCCCTGCGTGCTTGCCTTGGTGTACCCTCAACTGGGGGATCAACAAGCCGCAGCTAAAACGGGGAATATGAGCTAAGACTGGAATGAGTTGTCCGCAAGCCAATTTCCGAGCTCTGCTCCTTTTCCCAGCGCAAGGCTCAAGCTTTGGACTATTCGGCATGTCCAATGCCATCAAAACGCAGTTTTTCTCCATGTGTGAAGCACTGGTATGGCCCCCCGTTCCTGAGTGGCCTGAGTATGGATTCGCACATGTTGGTTAAGAACGCGTTCGTGGACGTCAGCCACAAAATCAGCCTTTGAGAGGTCTGTCCGAGTTGACCGAGTTGGCCGCTGAGCAGCGGCTCAGCGATTTCGTGGCTTCGCCCAACTCGGCTCGCTCACTTGGATTTTCCGTTTGCCTTCGGTGATGCGTTCGCCACGTAGCGCAAGATGCGTAGCAAGTAGGGGCCCAAGACTAAGAGCTGTGGCCCCAATTGCAGGGCCCAACGTGCATATAGGCCCAAGCCCGGGTGAGGCCAAAAGAAATGAGCATCGTGAGCTGCAAACAGCAAGAAGGCTGCCTTGGAGCGGCGACACCCTCCTCCCCCGCAAAAAATGGCAAACTGAGCAACTTCAAGTAGACCCGTGTATTACTTGAAGCCATTGAAGACCGGGGAAAACATAACATGACTCAGCGAAACTTCTGTAAGATCCGTTCCAAGCAAGATTCTCATCAACTTGGTTCTGTGAATTTCCATCCCACACATATCACTCCCTGAGTGTAGAACATGTAGAACACCCTAAGAGGGAAGACCAAGTCAAGAGTCCATGGATTTGCTCATGGTCCAAACGGCGTTCATCACATGGTGCTCCACGTAGTTCAAGGAGCCCGTGCGCCACCATTGGATGAGCACGAAGAAATTGAGGCCATCGTAGAGGGGGAACACTGAGCCGATCACAGTCATCTCCACAAGCATGTCGAAGTGGAAGGAGCTCCATGCTGGGGTTGTCATCAACTCTCCTGGGTAACATCTGAATGTAAGAAACTTTTGCTAACGGAAGTCTGGCCGTTTCTCGGAGCAGATGGGTGAGTTGAAGTGCAACAAAGGCACGGGTTTAACTTGACACATGTCAGCTATTGGATTCCCATCGGTTGCAATGGGATCTTTGAAAGTTTACATGCAGCAGAATCGCCAAAGATGTAGACATATGCATTCACCCCGGCCGCCAAAGACAAGTTGGTAGCCACCAAAAGCATGAGATGCGACAGGCTGCCAGCGGAGACTTTTCGAGACTCCTCCTTGACCCCGACGACAAAGCAGTTCAACGCGCTCACCACTGTGGAGCTGCCAAAGGCACTCACGAAAGCGCGCGCGAAGGGTAGGCTGAACAGTGCCTCATTTCAGAAAAATCAGCAGACTCTTCCTTGTTGATAGATAAGTCCGAACATATTTGAGCGTACGTCCGAAAGGTAGGCGAACGATGCAACTTTCTCCCGACGGGTCTTATGCCCCACTTTGCTTTGATTCATCCACGCCAAACCTGCTTCTGGGCTTCCATATCCAAGAAACATACCACTCGTGGCTTTCAACGAGCCTCTCAAAACCCCGCAAGGTCGCTAGGCACAGTCTCATGACGCAACGGTATCTACCAATCATATACATCACCCCTTGCAAAATCCGATAAAGCTTCAAATAGAAACGTCTACATCTAGAACCTACGTCATGCTGCCCCTCTACGCTGCACTTCGCAGAGATTCCTCACCCAGCCGGGCCCCAATGTTCCCTAGGTCAAATGACTTCATTCAATTCGTATTTACCTCTTTGCTGGCCTCTCAGAATCATCGAGTCCAACCTGCTCTCAGACCCTTTGCTCCCTCCTTTCCGCTCTGAGGCGCTGGGTGCTTCTCGAAGACCTTTGGGTCACTAAACCAGGAATGACGAATCTGAAGTACCCAGCCACCGCCAAGCGTGCACAAAGCAAGCCACTTCAGCGCCAAACCAAGCTGCACGTGCGCTCGCGTTCCCTTCTTCCCCAAAAACTGCCACGTCATCAGCCCCAAATATGCAAAGCCGAAGAAGACGTGGGAGTAAGCCATGGATTTGTAAAAACTATCTTGCAGAGGGTAGCGCGAGAAAGGCGTCACATCCCCTCCAGTGGCTGAAGGAGGATGGAGCTCCGAGGAGGATTCGTTGTAACGGGTCCACATGGTTGTGACAAACTGCACAGGCTACAACATTTGGGCCATGCAGGCGAAAGTGATGGTGCCGTTCAA